AGTTTGTGTCATTTTATGACTTGAAGTATCATATGGTCAAGAAATATCTCAAGTATTAAGAGCTCCTCTGAGAACTTTTGAAATTTATAAGATTGGATATTGATAAAAAAGTAGCTGTTTCACAGTATTCTCGTCTTGTTTTCAAACGAAATTTGTAGATGCAGACTGAATAGAGCAAACCAGAAGTGTAGGGTCGCTGCACTGCATTTAGAGACAATGTATTTAACTTTCCGAAAAAATGCACAACGTTTGAAAGGGTATGATTTTGAACTTTTTTGTAGCTATTCTTAAATGCGATGCTGGTTATATCCATGAAGAAGTGGACAACAAACTAGCTCAAGAAGGGTTTATGATGCCATGGGATTTGGCTTCAAAAGGATCTTGCCTTATTGGAGGTAACATTTCTACTTGTGTTGGTGGTATCCGTAGGCTTCGTTTTGGTTCTCCACATAATCACGTCATTGGTTTGCAAGTTGTAAGTTCATAATAACTTCTTTTTCTTTTGCTTTTGCTACCTACTGCTTGAATAATTACATGCTGGAAAATTGTGAAATATTTTTAGTAAAACTCTGTATCTTTAGGGAGCTTTGAAGTTTAGGTTTTGGCTGACGCTAAAGGAACAATTATGAATGTCGGCTCTGGTGTCAGGAAAGATAATACAAATTTGCACTTGCATCAGTTATTCGTTGGCAGTGAAGGGCAGCTTGGCATTATCACAGGTGTCACAATGACGGTGGTACCACGTCCTAGCAGCATTCAAGTCGCCATATTAGGTCTCGTCTTCATACTGCCCTTTTTGAACATTGTAGAGATTGAAAAAAGTCTTGTTCAAGCGTTTTTTAGTTTAGAGAAGAATTTTTAAATTTTGTTGTATAGCACTTTAGTAGTTCTTTTACTTACAGGATGTCAGACCTATCATGGATGTCGCGAAATACTACGTTTAGCAAAAAATTATTTGGGAGAAATATTATCGGCTTTTGAAATGATTGACTCTGAGTGTATGAGGTGTTTGGCTGAGAATGAATCACTTCATAACGTCTTAACATCCAATCCACCATTCAACGTTATTTTCGAAACTATGGGTAAAAAAATTTTTTTCTTCAAAAAAGTCTGGTTTTTGTGTCTTTTTTAACATTTTTTTATTACAGCTTTTTTTATTTAAATACCTTTACATTCTCTTTAAAGGCTTTTTAATTTGAGGTGTTAGTTTTGCCTAGAATTGGAAAGCTGAAGTTTAGGTTTTATATAAACAAAATGAAATATAAAGTAACAGTAGCTGACATTTCTCTGAGTTTTTCTTGCTTTTAACTGGGAACCTAGTTTGAATATCGGCGATTGTCATCCGCTTTTTGGCTTGTGAAATTCTTTTTTTTTACCGCTTGTTTTTTTACATCTTTCAGGTTCAAACGAAAAACATGATAAGGAAAAAGTGGAAAAGTTTTTAGCGGATGTATTAACCTCTGGTTTAGCCACTGATGGAGCCCAGGTGGCTTTTTTTGGCTTTTTTAAGCATCTTTGTAGTATTGCTTGGTTAAACTCTAGCCCTGGTTTTACTACTTTAAATTTTATCTTCTGTTTGTCAGATTTTCTTGTGTGACACTACTTCTTATTTCTTAGGCTAAAAGCATCCAAGAAAGGAATAGAATTTGGCAGTTGCGACGTATGACTCCAACCTCACCTATAAAGGACGGTTACGTTTACAAGCATGATATCTCCTTGCCAGACGAACATTTTTACACTTTATCGCAGGTTATGAGAGAACGGTTGGGTTCATTACCGAAGAGAGTTATTACTTATGGCCATATGGCTGATGGTGACTCACATATTAACGTCTCAGCCTCTAAGCAGTCTAAGGAGATTGAGGAAAAGTAAACATCTTGATGATTAGTATTATAGCTTCAATATTCTTTTTTCTTTTACTTTTACTCAGACTTCGTCTATCAGTTTAAACTGGAATCTAACTAAAAACAGATGTGCTTTTTAATTTCTTTTGAACCCCTTTCCTCCTCTTTCTATCGTTTCTGACTTAAAGGCATTTCTTCGAGAATGTTCTAGGCCCAGTTCTGTCCCAATACTAGTATTTTTTAGGTTGTATCCATTTATGTGCGAGTGGATTGTCGAACATGGCGGAAGTATTAGTGCAGAACACGGAGTCGGACAGGAAAGACGAAAATATGCAGCTCTTGGAAAAGGGTATGAGTACGAATTGGTGAAGTTACTAAAGAAGCAGTTTGATCCAAAATGTATTCTGTCTCCATACAAGATGATAACTGTCTGAGCTACTGTATTAGTCCCTTCCTTTTTTGCAGCCGTTTTCGTAAAGGCTTCAGAAATTTCAACTATTCCTTTTTTTTTCTCCCTTGGTCACTCAGTTTACTTTAAAGCAGTTTGATTCTGCACGATTGGAACATATTAACTAACTCAGTTAGGGTGCTTCAACAGTGACAAGTTTATATTATTTTAGGTAGGTATTTATACTGCTTCAGCCGACTTATTTAACTTAGCAGCCTTTGGTTGTGATCTCCGTTCCATTGCCTTTCATGAAGATCTCGGAACAATATTTTATTGGAAACTTTAAGTGAAATTCTCTGTATTTTATACCAAAAAATTAACACAGGGTATTTTTAATTAACAGACTCCCATTCCTTTCCCTTATAAAGTACAGTATAGGTTTGAGCTTTAAGCTTTTTTTATATCTGTGTTGCTCACCATTAGCAATTAGTAAAAAATTTTTACAACAGAACAGACTGACATATTTGGCCTTTGGGCCTATAAAAATGTTTATTACTACTACCAGGTTTGTTAACGTCTATCAACTAATGCTAATAAAAGTTTCTATTAATTTGAAAATGCATTATTTAATCTCAAAATGACGGAAATAAGTGTAACAAAAAAGTTTCTCAAACACGCGTATGTGCATATCACAGCCTTCAAATTCAGTTGAGCAATGTGTTAGTGACTTCCGATATGAAGTTGAAATCAGCCAAATGTTGAGTGTCAGAGTCCGCAAGTTGTAGTCGATCGGTGGACTCGAGTAGTGGAGCTCGTGGATTCTGAAGAATGAATGATTTATTACGCTGGGAACAGTAATGTTGTTTTTGATTGTTTGTTAGACGAGGTTTAGTTAAAACTGACTTTGTAAGCTTCACTTGCATTGTATGCATCAAAAAGGTTGTTATGTAGCGTAGGGACCTCTGCACAACAATCTTTTAAAATGTCCAACGGAGGCTGGCTGATGAATGGTGGTAGTTCCGATGAGGTTGTAAAAGAACCTGCAAATTGATAAATATTTTCAAAGGTTATATCGAGTTATTACAACGATGTGAAGGAGCAAGTACCAGTCACCATTAGTTGTTATTTATAGTTTGTAGCTAACCCGCCAATTATTATAGGTTGCCGCAAAATGAACGTTGTTTTTGAAGATAATTTTCAAAAGCTTATTATCGACACTGCGCTTAATTGTTTTTGTATAGCAGTTAAGATCACCAGTGTCAGTTACTGACAGACCAGTGGGTTGTTAACTTGCAGATAACTACTCATTTAAAAAGATTTCTTTTAAGACGTTTAGTAGGACAGGCACTAGCAATCTGCAGCTAGAGGAACTCAACCGCAGCACAATTAAGTCTCTAACTTTTCCTAGAAATAACCTTGTTTCTACAAAGTTTAAGAACAGAATGCTTACTACAAGTCGGCGGGAAGGTTACAGGATACTCAATTTTCGAAGTATGCCGAGCATCTTCTGTCGTGAAAGCACTAATAACATTCGGATACGCAGGAGTATTGCCTAAAAAGATGGTTATTATTCATTTAACTGCTGTAAATTAAAACAGAAAAAACCTTTGAGCATAATGAATTTGAAACTGAATTACCAATAAAATTATTTTGTTGGTAGGATTCACTAGAATTATTCCAGTAAGCACCTTTACTGGTGACCGCGTAACCACTTGCTTCTGGTCTCCAGTTAGCAGCAGTAGTGGAAGAAAAACCTTCCTTGTCAAGATAAGAAGGTAAATTGGGAAAAGTTGGAAATTCCTGAAAAGGATTTTGTTAGCGTACTGAAGTCGAGCAAGCAAAAGTAATCTGGCATCAGTAATGATCCAGTTGATTTTGCAAAAAGTTCTGTCGGAAAATCTAAGTAACAGTGGTGAGCAAGCTATTCCACTAAATTAAATTAGATGGGTGACTTACTTGTGGCAGACTCAAAAATGTATGTAAGGAAGGTGTAGCAACTGCCGGAGTATTTTGATAGGCTGGAGCTTTGAAGTCATCTTGACTTCCAGATGGTAAGCTACCGTTCCCAACACAGGCAGCTGCTGCTGCGACAATCAAATTTTGTTGTCCACAAGTTGCTTGCTGATGATAATACCCAATGAACTGCTGCTGCTGCACATGGTTGTTCTATTCAAAATGTGAATTTAAGCCAATTCAACTGGCACGAGTGGTAACTATAGTAAAATTGTTACTCCTTTATATGAAAGTATTCTATGATATGTGTGAATAAATTAATTTTATTATATCATATCCAACTTGCTGTGTTGAAGGGAACAGATCGAGATGAAGCGGTTGAGGAGGTGGTAGTGGAAGATGATAAACATTTTCGTTGTTGGCGCACTTCTTCTTCTTACTTCGAGATACACTACTGACATTTTGAGTACCATTTGTAAGTGATGATTGATGGTTGAACCTGTAAATTAGAGCAATTGTCTTTTAATCTGTAAAGATAACAAATTTGAATTTTTAAGGAAGTCTGAGTTTTGAGAAGGCTAAAATTGAGCAAATAAGGGTTGGAGATTCTTGAATATCGTTATTTGAAAATTTGTATGACAATATGAACTGTCCAAGACGAGTGAATATTGTAAATTAATAATTTTGCTGTATTATTCTTTAACTGGTAACTAAAAAGTGAACAGTAACCAAGTTAAATTTTTTGTCGATAAATTTAAAAAGTATTTTGGCACACACTTTTTCGTCAAGGTTGTGGGTGCGTATGAAGTTTGGAAATAGGACGATTGTGAAGTGGTACTTTTTCGAGCTTCAGATGGAGGAAGGTTTTGAGGTAATGCTGAAAACCTGTTTCCATTAATTCTTTTCCTCAATGGCTAAAAAATCAGAACAATAATATATAGCTAATTTCTGGTGTTCTGGTAACTAGCTGTATTCCATTCTTATTTGTAACTTCGTCTTTTTAAAAATCAT